AATACAACTTTCATGTTACTTTACATATGGAACAGCCATGTAATACGTAAAATTTTATTTTATTTTATTTTTTCTAAAGATTTTTATTGGGGTATTGGGGGGAAGGGAACAGTGCTGGGGAATTGGGGGATGGAAAACAGATAAGTTGCTGTTGTTTTGTTCTTCAATCTAGTTGTGGAGGACGTCGCTTCACTGGCCCAAGTTGGCACCATCATTGCGCTCTTCCTGGGTGAGGCAGATCAGTCGCCGGCCTCTGGACGGCCGCTCACGCTGGCTGCTGGCCGCTCACGCTGGCTGCTGGCTACACACGGTAGCCCATGGCAACCCACTGCCACAGAGGCTGCAGCCCAAGCTGTCGCCGGCGACTCACGGCAGCCCAGCTCCAGGTTGAGCTGTTGTTCAGCATCTTAGCTGTAGAGGGCAGTGTCACTGGCCCTCATATGTGGGATCCGAACCGGGGCCCTCTGGCGTCCCAAGCCAGTCCTTAACCATCGCGCCACTCGGCCGGCCCTAAAATTTTATTTTAAAAACAGGATTCTCCAGTTTAAAACAAATTCTAGACACCCACTGATGTAACAGCTCCCTCTCTGTTGGAGATGAGAGAAAGGGGGGTGAGCTAACTTGCACTGAGTACTTCCGCCTCAGGCCTGGAATTCACACCCAGGTCAGTCTTATCCCAAACCTCCCCACACCTTTTCTAATTCACAGAGCGCGGTGTTTGAGCCAGAACGGATCAGGGTCACAGGCTTTCTTCACTACACCAGCGTTCAGGGGCTCCACCTGAGGTCCTCTTGATGGAGGACTCCACTGAGCCATGCAGTGCCACGCCCTTCCCAAAGAGGGTCTCATTTTAGGACCTGCCACCTCCTGTGAAGTAAGCCCACCTGGCCTTGGTTCACAGACAGGGAAAGCCCTGGCACATCAGTTAGATGCCTCGCACCCACCTCTGCATTTCCACTGCTGAGATCCAGCCTCACTTCCTCACGCTTCTCTTCCACTCCAACCACGCAGCCGCAGTCCCAGGGCCTCCCTCAATGAGCACCGCACCGTTAAGTCTGCATCTTCCATCCAATCCCCAAACCTACCCTACACTTGGGTACAGAAATCATTCCCCTGAAACCGTAATTCTTATCGCGACTCTGATGTCATATCCATGTGGTAATTTCCAGTTGCCTCTCATCTCAAATTAAAAAAATATTCCAGGATCGCCGTCTCTCCTATAAACTGCTCCCATTTTCTGACAGCCCGACTATCCTCCATCCTTGCCCCGGGTACCAAGCAGCAACAGCAGCTCATTAACCTGCCATCAATCAGGCTCACTCCCTTTGCGATTTTCGCACATGCCGTCCTCCTAGTCTAAGCACCTTCCCCTTCCTTGTGCTAATCACGCCTCTGTCCTCAGGGTCACCCAGCCCCCTCAGGCAGCACCCTCATCAGCACATTCCCAAAGTCCACCCCTCGTCTGCCGTTTCCCAGGGAGTCGCTGTGCTAGAGTCAGAATCGAGTCCCACTCTACTCAGAACTCATCACTTCAACCTCAGTCCTCTGGCTGGCTTTTCAGGCAAGCCCACCAAGCCATCCGCAATCCAAACCTACCCTCCGAAAGAAGCCACTCCTCCAATCCGGTGTGCGGCTTCCCTCTCCGCTCACTGCTACCTGCACAGCGCCCTTCGTCCTTGGTGAGGACAAGAGGCACATGCTAACTCTAGAGGCAAAAGGGGCACCGACACCAGCCAGAGCCAAGGCCCCTGCTGGGGGAGGCCCCAGGTGGGAATCACAGCTGTGGAGGGAGCCGGAAGAAACACCCAAGCTCTGTCCACTCGCTGACGCCTTCCGTTGCTGAGTCCTGCCGGCAGCCAGCACGGCCAGGGGAGGGTGGGAGGGTCGCCATGTCCAACAGCTGCTGCTGCCCCGTGATCCCTGCACGCCCTCTGTGGGCTCCACTCTCTGCGCCATGGGTCCCATGGAAGACAGGTCCCTGGGGAGGCCCAGAGAGGGCCCACAGACCTAGTCCTTACTGAAAAAAGAAAGGCGGGGGGATTTCTTTCATGTCACCCAACTGGTAAGAATTCCAAGAGCCAAAATGCGGTGCACAGGGCCTCAGGCCTCAGGCCAGAGAAGTCTCCAAGGACTAGCTGAGGTTCGGAGCGCCTGCCCCCATCGCAATCCACTCGGATCCTTCCTTTCACACCCGGTCTCCTGTAGTACGTCCACCTTCAGGAGATACCACTACAATTCAGGAGGGTGGGGGTCCCCCAGGACCAAGTATTCAGCCCAGCACAGAGAACACACTTGTGCTGTTTTGTCTGAGGTAAACGTGCAGGGCACTCTGACACCCCCTAACAAGGGACACGCCTGTCCAGTCACTCCGCTAAGGAACTGAGCCTGGGCCTGAGGCTGGGCCCAACGACACAGCCTTCCAGGCCACCGCACCGTTCTGTTTAGGTTCTTGGGTGGTCATGGGTTTTGGAGGGTTTTCTCTTTGGTTTTTTATCTTTACCCTAAAAGCAAGGAGAAGCCATTGAAGACGTAAGCTGGGGAATCAATAATCAGGCTGAATTGTTAAAAGTTACTTGGCTACAGTGTACAGAACAGGCTGGAGAGTGGCAACAAGTGGGCAGTGCCAGGGGGCAGAGATTCAGACAAAACGACATGGGCCTGGATTTGGTGGTGGCAGTGACAATGGCGGCAAGCTGACAAACTCAGGACCTGTCCATGAGAGGAATCATAGAAGACATACTGGCAGACACGTGGGGGCTGAATGGTGAGCAGGAGGTGGGCAGCAAGGAGGATCCTGGGTCTCGTCTGGATGGTGGCGCCCTGGGGAGGCTCAGGCAGCTCAGCTTTCAGCAGGGTGTGCGGTGGATGCCATGAGTCAGCCGTGAGAAAGTAAAAACCAGCCTGCTCTGAGAAGTGGCTGTGCCCTACAGTTCGTCGGGCTGGGGTGTTGGGCATGCATAAAGCAGCTGCCAAGCTCACAGGAAACGCCTCCCCAAGGACACACTGCAAGTGTGAGCGCCATAATGCCCCTTTCTCTCAGTGGCTGGCTTCTTGTTCAGAGAAAGCTAGTCTGTACAATCCCCACTGTCAGGGATTCTGCTTATAACAGGAAGAAGGAAACTTCCTCCTCTCGCCTGCGGGATCAAAGGCACTGTGACACAGGGCGGCAGCCGTGGCTTCCAGGAGCCGCAGAGCTTCAAAGAAAGATTTCCAGACACTAAGTTCCATGTCTATCTCAATTTTGTAGTTTTCAAGGAAACGAGACCTGATGCTGAGCCCTTCACACAGCCCTCCTTTGCCTGGAGCCCAGCAAAACACAGCTGCATCTGCACTGCACCTAGACTCCACCTGACCCAAATCCTACAGCAACTCCGTCCTTCCCTTTGTTGGGAAGATGCCCAGTTCCTCTGGTGGGTGGTCTCCCTCCCTGCAATGAGCCATAAACCTGATCTTGTGAGACTCCAGGTCCTTCCTGATGTCATAGACTGATTAAGCTAGAACAGACATTTAGAATTTGAAATGATTATGAAACCCATGAGAAGAAATGCCAGGTAGGAGTCAGAGACAGCGCTCTGAGCCTGGAGGAGAGGTCTGAGCTACAGACAAATCCAGGAGCCACTGGCACCAGGACGGTAACTGAAACTGTGTGTGCACAGAATGCCCAGCGGAGGCCGTGGACGAGGGGAGACGGGGCCCAGGCCTGAGCCTCCCGTAGCTGACAGGCAGGTGAATCAGCAAAGAAGGCTGAGAAGACGTGGCCCAACATCAGTGAGGAAGGCGAGTGCGTGGCCAGGGACTGCGGGACAAGAGCTCCTCAAGTCTAATCTTGATCAAGTCACCACAGGTTCGCGGCCTCGCTTTCATAAGCACGATTTGACTCTGGTAGCGGGCTGACCTCAAAGACTGACTCATGCTAATCACTCATGAGACCCTGACGTGTTTTTCAAAATGCCAAGTTGATGAATCTGCAGTGACAAGTACAACCACCCAGCAGAGTGACTAGCAACAGCCCTCCAGCTGAAGGAGTGAGTGGAAAAAACGTTCCTGGAGCCCAGTAAGAGCTGAGGCTGTGGGGGAGGCCCCAGGTGGGAGTCACGGCCGTGGAGGGAGCCGGGAGGCACACCCAGCCTGTCCACCCACTGCCGCCTTCCTTGCCTTGCGTTGCTGAGCCCTGCTGGCGGCCAGCAGGGGAGCCAGTGCGAGCAGCGTAGGGGCGTCCACCTCCCGGAGCAGAGGACAGCAGAGCTGAGGGTTCCAGAGAGAATAAACAGGGCAGGGGCTGTGCAACCATGGGCTTTCTCCCTCCTCACTGGGCACAGCGGCCCCCTGACCGGACACATCTGCACCAACCAGAAGCTCGTGCTGCGAAAACACCTTCTTACCTGGACTGTGCCAGGAACGCGACCCAGCCCCCCAGCTGCAGCTTTCCTGGAGGGGAGGCCAAACCGCCAAGCTCACGGGGGTGAACGAGCCGTAAGCGCTGAAGACCGATTTGACTGGAATTCAGCCTCAACTGGGCGGCGGGGGACTCCATCGTGGACCGTCGCCGAGAGCTTCCGCGGGCTCCTGGGCGGACGGGGACGACGGCGGCTGGCGCGGGTCTCACAGCCTGAGCTTCCGTCGGCCTCGACCCGGGCGCGCCCACACCCAGCCCCTCGACGGGCACCCGGCTCCGTGCAAGGCCTGCGCGCGGCGAGACCCCCCTGACGGCGGGAAGGGCTTCTCGGAGCGTCCATCACAAAGGCGCGCGGCTCTCCCGCCGAGGAGGAGGAGGAGGGGCGCGCAGGCAGCGGCCGGCGGCAGGGGCTTCAGCGAGCGGGCAGCCCCCCCAGAAACCTGCCGCCCAGGGCTCCCTGGCGCCCCTCGCTTCCTCAGGGCGCTCCCGCAGGGAATCGAGGGCGATCGCCGTCCCTGAAAGCTGATCGACGGTCACGCCACGGCCACCGACGCCACGGGGACCTGCCGGCACGGGCGGGCGCGGGCGGCGACGCGCCACTCACTCTTTTCTACGACCTTGAGCTTCTGCAGGCCGTCCAGCACCTCGCCGCTCAGCAGCCGGGGCAGGACGTCGCGCATCTGCATCACCTCGGTGGTCAGCCGCTCCAGGTCCCTCTTCCTGACTTGCACGTACTCGTCCTCGGCGCCCGCGCGCTGCGGGAACAAGCCGGTCTTCAGGTTACCCCGTGTCCCTCCCGGGTCGGCCGGCTCCCGTCCCACGCCCCTCGCGTCCGCGGCGGGGGCGGCGCGTCTGTGCCCGCCGGGCCCTCTGCGGCCGCCTCCCATCTCGGGACCCGAGCTCCGGCCCGCGGCCCCGCGCCGGGAGGCCACACAGAGCGCCGGCGCCTCGGCCGAGCCCGTCCGCGGACACGGGAGTCCCGCGAGTCCCGCCGGCCGCCGCTCAGCGCTCGCCACAAGCCTTCAGGGTCGTGCGGGTCAGACGCGGCGGCCGGCGCAGCGCTGCCGGGGACAGGGTCGCGGCCGGGACGAGGACACGGGTCCGGCCACGGCTCCCCCACCCCGTGCCGCGGGACACCCGGCGCCTGCCCGCGCTCACTGAGCCTCGTGGGTGGCACAGGGGCGCCGCCGGCGCCTCCCCGTCGCGCCCACCGCCCCGCGGTGCGGCCTCCCAGACCCGCGCCCGGGATTTCTGAGGCGGGGCGGCCCAGCCCCCAGCCCCCGCCCAGGCCGCGCTGTCGGCGGACGGGCCCGGGGCCGGTCGTGGGCGCCCTAGGCGAGGCGCACATGGGCCTCGCTCAGCGCGCCGCGGGGAGGCCGATGGTGGCAGCTGGAGCGCGCGGGCGTGGCCCCGGCCTCCTCACTCACCCCGCGGGCCTCCTCAGCGCCTCCGCCTTCGCTCATGGCCACGGCGGCCTCGCCTCCCGCTCCTCGCGCCTGCGCGGCACGCATGCCCACTGACGCCTCACGCCAGAAAGCGCGGGAAGAAGCGAGCGCATGCGTCCATACCTGCGGTCGGCGTACGGAGAGCCACGAGGCTCAAACCGCGTGGAGTGCGCAGCGCTGTCGGCCCCCGAACGAGGGGTGAACTCTGCCAGATACCGCGTTGGCTCTTCTGGCTTAGCAGGGGTTCTAAACTTGTTAACTACAAAGTAGAAAGATAGTAAGACCCAGGTGTAAGTGTCAAGTGAAATAAATCGAATCGGGCTTTTCCTGTTTGGTGAGATGTTAGATAGAGTAAGGGGCGATGCAGTCCAGGGAACCACCACCTGCTCAGCCAGCGGCCATGCTCCTGTGCTCGCTCCAAGCTCCTTTAGCAAAGGTCCAAGCATTCTGGCATCAGAGTCTCCAGGAAGTCTGCCCCTGCCCCGCAACAGGGAGCGTCAGTCCAACTAGCTGACTACAACTGAAATGCCCACCGTGAACTTGGAGACATCACCTAGTCCATTCGCTTGCCCCAATAGGCCCACTGGGTTTGCAAAATATGGTGAAGCCTGTAGGTTGAAATGTACCGGTGACTGCACAATTGAGACTTCATCCGTCTCTGGAACCCGCAGAAAGCTGGCATGGCTGATTCCCCGGAGTGCTTGCTCTCCAGGCCTGAGGGCTGACTCGTGAGCGCACGCTCCAAAGCCCGGCACCCGCCTGCACCTACCCTGTCCCTGCCCCTGCCCCTGCCCCGGGACCTACCCCAGCACAGAGACGGCAGCTGCCCCTCCCCTGCCCCCGCCCGGGCCCCGCCCCTGCACCTGCCCCCACACGGGATCTGCCCCTGCCATCTCCTGCACCTGCCCTGCCCGCGCCCTGGGACACTGGGGGAACTTGGAGGGGTGCTGCCCCCGCTGGCCGTAGAGACCGCTCAATGGGGCTGCCCTCAACATTCCGCCAAGAAGCCGAAGGACGACCCTTTTCCCAGTCCCCGACCCGCCGAGGCGGCCCGAGGAGTACAATGAACTCGGTGCCGTTTATTTCGTGGAACGGCTGCCGGATCAAATGGAGGGTTTGTGAGTGGACTTAAAGATTCTAGACCATTTACAAGTGGCCATCCGACTATTCTGGGCCAAGACCCAACACTGGCTAAGCTCGCCATCAACGGCCCCGACTTTCGGCGACCGAAAGACAGCAGAGAAGCAATGGCGCGACGCATCCCAGAACTGAGCTGCTCGCCACCCGCCAGGGCCCCGCGGCGCTCGCCCCCAGAAAGCGCTGCGAGCCGCGGCTGGCGCCTGTGTGACGCCATCATCCCGCGCGCGCCGCCACAGCGCCGCGCACCGCCCCCGCCGCCTTCTGCGCAGTCGCCCCCAGGGCAGCACACGGCAGCGGCGCGAGGCTGAGGTCCTGTGGGCTGCGGCCGGGGATGCTGCATTGGGCGCGAGGGCCCCAGCCATGCAGCCCGCCGAGATCCAGTTTGCTCAGCGGCTGGCATCCCACGAAAAGGGCATCCGGGACCGGGCTGTGAAGAAGCTGCGCCAGTACATCAGCGTGAAGACGCAGAGGGAGACAGGTGGGCGCCCGGCGGTTAGCCGAGCCACATGGCGGCCGGGTCGGGGCTGAGGGCCGGGGCCTGGGCAGAGCCGCCGGCAGAGCAAGGGAAACGTCGGGCACTGATTCGCGCTGCTGCCGCGCGCTTCTGTGTGTTTGCACCGTGGGAACCGCTTCTTGCCGGGTCCAGTCTGGTTTTACGGTGGGGGGACTGAGGCCGACAGGGGCCTCAGCCTGCTGAAAGTGGGGTAGGGGGAGCTGAGAACAGACCCGGTCCGGCCGACCCCGAGCCTGGACCTTGCATCACTAGCTCATCCTGATTTATGCCGTGCTCCTCGCCGTCATTAGAACAACACCTTTCGGAGCCGGAGTTACAGGGGAGAAGGCAGAATTCCTACCCTCGGAGAATTCCTGCGAGTGAGGCTGGGGCGGAGGGCGCGGCGAGATCACTGAAGCAGAGATGGTGGAGTGTAGCAGCGGAAACGGAGATCAGGGGAGCAGGGCGCTCCTCTACAGAGGCTGGTCCAGGAAGGCCTCCCTGGGGGGTTAGGCCAACAGATGTGAAAAGAGGCGGGAGGAATGGCTGGAAGACCAGTAAGTCAGGGAGCGGCGAGGGTGGTAGGACACGAAGTTGAAAAAGTAGGCATTCGCCTGGTCCCACCGGTCATTGCGGTGGGGTGCCATTGAAGGATTGCATTTGCCTGATGCAAAATAGGGGTTTTCCGTTGCACTAGGATAACGTTTGGTTTAATTGCTAACACATTTAGCGTGTACTTGAAAGAATGGGTATTACGTCTCTCCCCCCCCCTGTGCTGACATCATTGTTAATTTATTTTGAAGAGAAATCACAAAAGACCACTCGGAAAAGAAAATACAATTTTATGGGAAGTCTGCTGGTAAGAGGAATGAAGACCAAAGTTCCTGACTTCAGTTTTGTTAGGGATCTCCTTGACAGACTTCATTTACTCTCATGGTAGCAGGCACCCCGGACACACTGAAGGTTCTTAATCCTAAATGTCCAGCCCTGACTTTGGCTACTTGCAGCTCAGCTGTGCTATTAATGCTACCTTGGCGTCTCCATCTTCGTGGAATTCCAGGTCTGCAGGTCATCCCCTACATGCCCGCTTTGTGCTCCATCGACAGCAGACCATTCCTGGGGCCTGGTGTACAATACTCCGTTTATCACGTGTCTGCCTCGCTTCTGTTCATGCTGAAAAGATTTCCACCCTTGACCCAGTCCCAGTGTTCAGCTCAGCACCACTTTCCCTATCATCTCACCCGCACTCCTCTAGGATTCTGAAATAACCAGTTTGTCTCTATTGTAGCACTTAGCTGCATTGCTTGTTAATCATCTGTTAATGTGTCACTCTTCCCCCAAAACACTGCAAGCTTCCATCTGTTTTCTTAGCTGGAAGTGGAAGCACATGCAGGCGAATGGGGGCCTGGCTATTTACAAGAACGGAAGGCTAGATGCAGTACATATGGGGCTGAGGGGCCAGACGGCCTGTTGCTCAAGCCCCTTGGGTGAGCAGGTCCAGGGTCTGAAATGTTCACGTGGAGGCATGCAGCTGTTGGGTTTCCATTGTGCCCTGGGGGCTCTGTCTGCTTAGCGCCCCTCACACCCACAGTAACTCATCTGGTATCTCTTGTTCAACCCTATATCCACATTGCACAGAGTATAGTGGGTCTTCAAAAAAGTGACTGCAGAGTGAATGTCATAGACAGTGATGATGGGACAAAATTAACATGATCTCTGCCACAGCTGTGCTCCGTCAAAATAGAAACACAAATTGAGAAGTACTTGGCATGGCATTTGAATCTCATTGACAAGCTCAATTTTTATTTTTGCATATTGTCTTAGGACATCTAAAGCTTTACTCTTACTGATACACAGAGCCGTCCACCAGCAGCACAGACAGCTTTGTGACGTTAGGAACAAAGGAGAAGCCTTTGTGCTGCTCACAGCACCTCAGTGTGCCCTGGTGTCGAGTGTGCAGTCGTGGAATGGTCACTGTCCATGGATTTCCTCAGGCCGGCGCATGTGTCCTTATTTACTCACCCAGGTCTGTAGGATCATGAACGCATTGCCTGCCGTGTGCTCCAGTCACTGTGCACACTGTTCTTGGCCCTGGTGGTGTAGCAGTGAACCATGCAGACAATACTCCCTGCCCGTCTGATCGATTCTGCAACTTTAACACCTGCTAAAATTAGGATTTACCTTAAATTACCTTGTGACAGTTTCACTTGCATCCTTGCTTTTCTTTTGGTGGCACATAAAGTAATTGCATTTTATAGTTAGTTTGTAGGTCTCAGATTCAATGGCAGGAATGGGGGAAATGAGTGTTTTTTCATACTGATAGTCAGGGGTCTCTCGACCCAATAGTTATAACCAGGAGCTGCGGCTGTTCTGACACAGGTGTGGGTTCAAATATACACTCCACCCCCACCTGAAACGGCTCCTGTGCTCATTTGTGGTGAGAGCAAATGAATTTTTTCATTTCTCCTCGGTCATTTTGAACTAAGTCTATACAGTCAGAAACTTAGTTGTTAAGTTTAAGAAACTCAACCCCCAGGGCCGGCCGAGTGGCACATTGGTTAAGAGCTGGCTTGGGACGCCAGCTCTGAGCAGCAGGGCCCAGGTTCGGATCCGGGCCAGTGACGTTGCGCCCTCTATAGCTAAGATGGTGAACAACAGCTTGACCTGGAGCTGGGCTGCCGTGAGGCGCCGGCGCCTGCGTAGGCTGCAGTGGGGCCGGGCCAGCAGCTGGCGTGAGCTGCCAAGAGCCGCCGTGAGCAGCCATCCAATGGCTGGCGAGCGACTGCCTCAGCCGGGAAGACCACAATGATCATACCAACATGGGCCAGTGAAGCGACGTCCTCCACAACTAGACTGAAGAACAAAAGGACAGCAACTTGTCTGTTCCAATTCCCCACCACTGTTCCCATCCCCCCAATTCCTCAATAAATTTTTTTTTTTTAACCATCTTGAACATATAAAAAGTCTACTCACTGCCGTGCTTTGGCATTTATCCGTACCTGGCCGATTGGTCTGATCTGCCCACTTCCTCCTTCCCACTAAATCCTTATGAAGCAAAGCCCAGTCAGCTCATTTCCAGATACTCAGTATGTATCTCTAAAAGACAAGGACTCTTTTTAAAATAATCACAGTACCGTTATCACATCTTTAAAAAAAATCTTAATATGGAATACCCATGCTGTTGAGGTTTTCCCATCATTTCATAAATTTTTTATGACAAATCAGAATCTAAATAAGACGCACCCATTGCATTTGGTTAATACGTCTGCAAAGACTTAATTGTAACAGTTCTCACCCATCTTCCCCTTGCAGCTTATTTGTTGGGGGAACTGGATCATTTGTCCTGTCATTGCCCAGGACTGCACCCCATAGTGTCATTTGGCATGTTCCTCTGTCCCCTGCATTTCCTGCGAACTGGTATTAATAGTTAGATCTGACAAGACGCAGGTTCATGTAGGGGAGGAAACTTGCCTCTACTCTCCAGTGTTCTGGCTGGTCTAGTAATTAAATCGACATGAGACAGATTAACAAGAAAATGACCAAATTTAATTACATGCATGTGCATGGGATCCCCACGTCCATGAGAGAGTCAGAGACCCCACATGCACGTGAGGTTCAGAGACAGAAAGAGGAGACGAGCTCGGGGTGAGGTAAGGCGCCTGGGGCTTCAGACGGGAGGAAGGTCACTGCAGGACGATAAGAGCAGGTGTCCATCGTTACCCGTGTGGCCTGGCCTGCAGGTGGGCCCAGAAGTGATTTCTGGTGATAGGTCTCTTGACGGGCAAGGCCGCTAATTTAAGGGCGAGATAAAAGTTTCTCGTGAGCCTGCAGAGTCTCAGTTGCCTTCAACTCAAAATAATCCACATGCCACAGAGGCACGTCTTGGGGGGACTCATTCTGAAACCCCTACATTAGCTTTTTGTTTTTGTAAGAATGCTTAGCAGGTGGTGCTGTGTTCTCCCATCGCATTGCATCCGGCATCTAATGAATAATTGTTGACCTTTGTGAGTTGAGATGCATCCATTGGTTTGGGTGTTGGTGGTCTGATTTGTCCATTTTAAAGTTCCTCAGTCGTTTTTCATCTAATGTTTTAGCACCATTGGGGACCCTTGCCTGGATCCACTAGTTCATTAGCAGTAACGTGAGTGACCATCGACGTAGGTCCCAGTGATGGGTTACTGCGACCATGACCGCAGTTAGCTCAGTGCCTGTGGGTTTGTGTGCGTTCTCAGTGGGAAGCTCCCCACGTGGAACAGGAGGGAAGGAAAACCAATCGGTGCACCGTTTGCCCAACCTCTAAAGGAAATGCACTTCAATAAACTAATTTTACTGTGGTTCCTGGTGTATTGCTTTTAAGTGAGAACTTACCACAGAGAATCAAAATGCAGCATAATAAAATTGTTGCTATAAGAAAGGTCTTTGGTAACTTGGAAATCAGTACCTGTAAAGGCATACAGCTCGCTCTGAACCTACTAAATAAATTTCAGTCCATCAAAAGGATCTGTCACTTTTTATCTTTTGGAGTACTGAGATCTCATTGATCCCAAACACACACTTGTTTACATTCTCCTAGCATCTAGTGAGACGGTAATCAGGACCATTGGTTGTAGGATATGCATTGAGACTTGAGGATTCTGTCTGTTCTCCACGAGCTTGGAGACTCCCAAGAGTTTACACTTACCTGATTTCATAATTCTTTATGTCACTCAGCAATTATTCCATGACACCTGGGGTCAACCCAGGAGTATAGAAAGCTGTGCGTGACTGGCGGCTCGGTTGTGGGTGGTGCAGGCAAAGGGAGAGAGCTTAAGCAATGAGTCAGAACCAGGCTAACCAAGGTGGTGCCATGTAACACAGGACTAAAATTGAGATGAAATGAAAACCATCACAGGGAGGGAGGGAAACGAGGGTACAGCCCAGGGTGACCTCACAGCAGGATCCTTAAAAGGGGCGTCTTAGAAATGTCCCCAAGCTTTGCCAGTTTCCCTGGGGCCATTTGTATGGGACTGGAGCAAACCCTGCGTCTTTTCTCAGATTTGTAATTTTACTTTGCGAGACCAATGAAAATGGTGTGTGGGGTAAGGGCTAGTTTAAGCAGAGGGAGGCACTTGGGTCATTTTATAAATGACCACCCCGTTCGTTTTCTATTGTGATGACATTTGCTTCCTTACCTTGGGTAATGAGAACAGGCCACCACTCACCCTGCTCCATAGCTGGTAAAACTGCATAATTTATGAGTGTGTGTTTTGTAACAATGCTTCAAGTAAAAAAGACATTTGCAGGTGAAAAAAATGAAAATGTATGTGGTATTATTTTCACTGCTTATGTGGCAGTTCCAAACTAAGAAAATTGTGAGGACTCTAAAATAAGATTTTTGTGCTGTTTGCCCTCTAGGTGGTTTCAGTCAAGAAGAACTTCTGAAAATATGGAAAGGGCTCTTCTACTGCATGTGGGTGCAGGATAACCCTCCTCTACAGGTAACAAGAGTTCCCTTGTCTCGTGGCTGGATTTGGGCATAGATAAGAGGCTTGCTTGTTTTATGCTGTATCCGTCCCCTAAGGCCCCCTGACTCACCTCTGTCATGCAGAAAGGGATGCAGTTTCCAAGCATTGAGGTTAATTTTCCTTTCAAATAATGAAGAATACACATAAACTAAAGATTCATTATTTCTCCATCACGTTTTCATAGTTCCATGGTAGGTTTTACATTACTTATTTTAAAATTTGTCTTTCATTTTCTTTTATTTGTGGTCAGAAATGTCATGGCACTAGTCTTAAGGTCCTGTGAGCGCCCCTTGGCCATCTCCGCCAGGTTAAGTGGGTGCCTGCAACTCAGCAGCCACCAGGCCGGGCAGGGCCAGGGTCTTCAATGCCCCCACCTGAAAGTCAACACAGGTGTGTGTGGATGTCTGGGCCCCATCGCCACAACTATTAAGAAAATGGTTTGTTTAAGAGCTTTGTTCTGATGTGCACACGCAGAGCAGAGGGGTAAGCCTTGAAATGCCATTTGAATCCCACCAACATGTAAAATGTCACAGTCAGATGTGACTTGTCTGGGTTTTAATGGGCGACTTGGCCACTTCCCCCAAGCCATGTGATAACTTGCTCTGATTTATCACTTTTACTCCACTGAACATATTTTGAGTAGGATAGCAGGGCAAAATATTTTTAAATCACATTCAAAAGTAACAGCCAACAGCTTTAGTGGAGGAAGAAAACATAAATAGGAACATCGTTTTCAAGTCTGGGAATTGATTTAAAGTGGGTGAGGGAAACTTGAGGCTCTGTGAGCTGCAGATAATACACGACAATCGAGCTTCTCGTGTGTGACTCAAACGGTTCTTGGGTTGACACTCCCCAAGGCAGGTTTCTGGGCAGACAATTAAGTTTGCGAACTTTTCACCGTGTTACTGCATGGTGGAAAGTTGAATATCTGAATTTATATTCAACTTTCCACAGTGGAAAGTTCACAAACTTAATTGTCCGAACTTTGTAGTCCAGGCCACCGAATTCTCGGCACAGATGAACTTGCTGCGTCTGAATAGGACACGCTCTTCTGGTGGCACTTGGCCCAAACAGAGCCTGGGAGGGCACCGGTGACCAGCGCTGCCCAGCGCCCTTTGCATCCCGTCTCTGAGCACTCCCAGGGGCAGCTTTCTGGTTCCACATACTGAGCCCCGTGGTCAGAGTCCCAGCGGCTCACTGCCGGTGACCACACCCTGCTGGGGCACCTGTGTTTCCGTTATTGGGGGGTTAGGAGAAAGTCTCAATTTAAGTTTTAGTATATTTTCAAAGCCAGGAGCTGACAGCTAATTTATTTCTTCTGTAGGTCATTTGAATAGATAACTAGATGTGCTTTTTTCAACATGCTGCTTAAACAAATCTCAGAGACATATTAAGTTGACATAGTAGTCCATTGAAATTGGGGGTTTCACATTTGATAAAATTTAGATATTCAGATACACACTTCTTCGTGGAAGTGACACTGAAAACAGGTACAGATTCCTGCCCCCCAACAGATATGGGAGGAGGTACAGGCCGTGATGCTGTCATCTCAGTGTTGCCACAAAATAACCCCGGTGTTTCTCCCCAACCCCACCTTTGCAGGAGGAACTAGCGAACACTATTTCCCAACTCATCCATGTTGTTAACAACTCAGAGGCTCGTAAGTCTTGATATTTTCATGACTTTCAAAACTTCCTTGTTCGTCAGATTTGGTAACTTGCCTAGGATGTGTTGTCCATATTGTTTCTTCTCCTTACCTCCACGTGTCTATTTTCCAGTGGGCTAGTTTCACAACCTGGGGCTGGCTACCAGTGTGTAGATATGAGGCGACAAGCCGTTCCTATGGAGAAGACTGATAAACTGAGATACTGACTCTGTAGGAGGGTGAAGGAGGTGTCTCGTGAAGTGTCATGTTTGGCATCTCAGAGATGGCCAAAAAATATTTTAAGAAGTAATAACCTTCCAGAATCTCCAAATTCTGAGTCACTTTAACACTCTTAGAAGCTGTATGTGTACATGCCAATGTTTGCAGCAACCCCTGGGGCCGGGTTTACCCGCCTCGAGACTAGAGTCGTATAAGGTCATCACTGCTGATAAACTATAAAGCGATCCCTCTACTAGAAAGAACAGACAGGGAGAAATTATTTCTGGACATTTAGGCTTTGGTTACTTACAAAGGAAGAAGAAGACAGCAGCAGAAGTTTGTTTTGCTTACCACTCCCGAGAACTAAACTGAGAACTAAACCATCCTAATGGCCTTAATTACCCTCCATTGTTGTCTAGACTTTAGCAGGGTCCCAGCTGATGCGTAACAAACAGAATTCCACACATGAAATGTAGTATAGGTTTTCATAGATCAAGAAAGATCTGTGCAAAAAGAAGTGAAGCAAAAAAAAAACAAAAAAAAAAAACAAAAGTTATTTTTAGACAAAAAGGTGCTAGCTTTGTGGCTGAAAAGAAAAATATAGAATTTATTTTATTGCTCACCCAGCTGACACTGCACATGAAACAAAAAACTGATTTCTCCACGGACCATCCAAGTGTCCATCAGAATCACTGGCTCTGGGTTGTTAGGTACAGGTGGGTGGAAAGGACCAGGAGACTCAGGAAATCCTTTGATTTTGATAGAAGCATGGCTTTGCGGGGATAGAGAAAAGTGCTCCGCGGAGCACTCTGGTTGAGCATTAGATGTGACCAGCCTTCCTGTCACTCTAATTGCTTTTACTTAAATGCAAAAGAAGCTATTGAGCACATTTAATGGTTGACCAAATTGTCTTGCTACCCAAGAATTCTTGAGAAAAGTTAGTAATAGATCATCCTAGCTTGTTTCTCTCCGTTACCTTCTTGCTATCTGGTACTATGCTCACCTGAAACCAAGCATTCAAAACAAGGCCTTTTCGCTGCAGAGCACCTGTTCATTCAGACCTTTTGGCAGACGATGAATCGGGAGTGGACGGGGATGGACAGGCCGCGCCTGGACAGATACCAGATGGTAAGGTCAGCGTGCCTCCCTCCCAGTCACTGCAGAGGCGCGTGTGGAGGAGCGCGTTGAGCAGCTCCAAACACTGGGACGGTTATGCGTGAAGCACAGCGGGCTCCAGGCTCGCCTGAGGAAAGGCCGCGAGCGTTGGACAGCCTTGAACATGTGCTGAAGGCCTCCGTTTGTCTCGCCTGCTGTCGGGGATGAGTTTGGGGTGCTTTAGTTAACATTTATGATCCTGAAGTTAAATCTGGTTATTGTGGATATTTTGTCACGTGAGGGGTCCAGGTTACACCAGTGTCCTTGGTCGCCTCGTTCTGCTAAGCTCATCAGCCTTTGCTACTTTCCCTTTTGTAACATGAGTGTGTCTGTCTTTAGCTGACCCGCCTGGTCCTGAGGCAGTCCTTCGAGGTTCTGAAGCGGAATGGCTGGGAAGAAAGGTTGGTGAACTATTGGGGTTAGCATTTGGTGGCCTTAAAACTTTTAATGAAATAGTGTTTCTCAAGCCTTCAGTTAACCGGGTATGAATTGCCTGGTCTCTGTTGAGTTCTGTGAGAAGCAAAACGTCCTTCCGCATAAGGAACTTTAAATCCAGGGGAGGAATGAAAGAGCTGAGCACACGTGCCGATTGGCACTTTATGCTGATTGCAGTGGTGCTTCTTTCCTCGTAAAACTTGCTCAGCCTCCACGGCTGGTCGTGCAGCGTAGCACACGGCTGAGTGTTGCGTCTCCATGGGAGCGAGAAGTGTTGGCGCGCTGTGTTAATAGGCCGCGTGTGTTGTTTTCTTTAGCCGAGTCCAGCTCCTTCTCGATGTCTTGATGAAGGAAGTCCTGCATCCCGAGAGTCAGTCTCCTAACGGAGTGAAATTTCACTTCATTGACATTTACCTGGATGAACTGTCCAAAGTGGGAGGGAAAGAGGTAAGTGGCCGGCCGCCAGCGGTGGGGTGGGGCCACAGCCAGCGTGCGCAGGTGTCGGCTCGTCTTCGGGTGCCCTGGGAGCTGGCCGTGGAATGCTGCCTGTTGCCGGCGATAACCGAACATGAATTGGCTCACCTTGTCTTTGACACAGTCCTTGCCCGGCTAAGAATGTGTCCTCCACAGCTAAGGGGACACGGGTTTGTGCCCTAAGGAAGTACATGGATTCTTCCTTATGAAACTATTGAAAGCCACCTACACAGTCTAGTAAAGAATCCAATAATGTGAGGAAATCCTCAGGATACTGAGTTTTTAAAGAAGTTGGAAAGGAAGGCAGCAGACAGACGTGCAGACGGTCTGACTTTTCTAAGAACATATTCATACATGAATAGACAAAGGCTGCAGAGGGAACGTACATTCCTTAGCGTGCAAGTGATTATCTGATTTGGGATTATGAGCAGTTTTTACTTCGATCTTTCACAAGTATTCTGTAGCGAACATGTACTTGTTTTAATTAAAAGAAAGTCTAAGTGTATAAAAAAATCATCGCTTCGTCTCAGCGTCTGGTGGTGTCCACACCGACCTGCTCCATGGAGGAGGGGGCCCGGGCAGCGCGGTCGGTCGGAGTGGGCGCTGCTCTCCGCTCACTGCCGCAAGGTGCCCTGGTGGCTGCAGGACGGCCGTGGCCTCTAACCTGGGTCTAGGCATCTGGGTAATTCGCGCAGCGTATATGTGCATTGTGAGATAAGTGTCACTCAGTCTGATTCAAGCCATGTGAAAAGAACAACTGTTTCCTCTTTCAAGGACACGTCACGAAACAGAAAAGGCTCTTTTTTCCCTTATTTTTTTTTCCTATTTTATTTCTAAATTACAGCTTTTGGCAGATCAGAATCTCAAGTTTATTGATCCATTCTGCAAAATTGTTGCCAAGACTAAAGAGTAAGTAATTCCCGTTTGTTTTTGTTGCTTCAGTTGGTACTTAAGTGGGGCAGAGGGGTTGTTTTGTGTTGGGGAGCATGATGCAGGAGACATGGGGTGGTCGTCCAGCTGAGGACAGCGGATCCTTAGGTCCCGTTGGCAGGACATCAGAAGCTTTGAGTCGTGATTCGGCTCTGCTGGCTTCGCTGGCTAACCCCTCCCCACGCAGCTCTGTCCGGTCGGTCCCACTGCTTCCATCAGAGCACTGGGCCGGCTCCTTGTGCAGCTATGGGGGGAGCGCGGAAGCGTAGTCAGGCGCACAGGTGCCCGCGGACCGTAGGTGATCACCGGGTCCTGGGAGGCCGCCATTGGGCATGCGGTGACTTCCCTGCTCCTAAGCCCATACATGCCTTTGATAACGAGGTCCAGACATGGGTTTTAACCGCATCTCTTTGCTGTGCTTCCCCCTCAGCCATACATTGGTGCAGACTATAGCTAGGGGTGTTTTTGAAGTCATTGTAGATCAGTCTCCACTTGAACCTGAAGACACAGTAGAGGAGCAGAAAACTAAAGTGGGTGACAGCAACCTCTCTGAAGAAGAGACATCTGAAAATGAGGTGATGTGGACGCAGACGCTCAGTAAAAAGAGGACAGGTAAGAGAGCAGCCTTGACGAGCCTTTCTCTTTTTAAGTCAAGTCCTCAGCAAACAAACACTTCAATACATTTGTTGGGACCTCACTGACTATAACCTGGAATTCATCAAAGATGGCACTGGGCTCTGCCTTGGATACCCTGTGCCTGTCTGGGGGGGGGGGTCCCTGGGAAAGACCCCAGGTCCCAGTGGGCTGCCCCTCACACAATTCTGTCTCCTGGAAGGTGAGACAGTCTCTGTGTTGCTGTTGCCTTGGGGTTTTTTCCTGTCGTTTTGGCTCCTTCGTGTCTGTAAACATCCTGACGTGGACGCAGACCTGCAGAGGGTTGTCAGTGGGACATCTGATCCACTTAGTTTGAACGCACACTTGTTTCTATAGCCAACCCTTCCGACCTCTGCGTTTCTTCAGGCTTCCTGTCCTTTTTCTTTGGGTGTCTGAATGCCCACAGTGGACTGACATTGTTCTCGGTGCCGTTTTATACCCGTGCAATTGCGTGGAGAGTGTGTGTTTAAAGTGCAGGCCCGTAAAGCTACGGCGGGGCTGCGGCACCTCGATGCCCAGCTCAGGGTGAGCGGTCGGGCACACCCACGCTCCCCGTGATGTAGCCGTCGACAGGCAGAGCTCTCAGAAACTAATGACCAGAGGAAGCTTAGTAATGTTTTTCAAAGCAAGACACAGAACTATGTAGAAGGAGCCTCATTCGTTTTAATACTCATATTATGTGTGCCTTAAAAAATCTGGAAGGCTATATTCAAAATATTAATAGTTATCTCTGGGTGGCAGAATTTGGGGTGATATTCTTTGTATTTTTGTCTGTTTTTTTAAATTTTCTACATTGATCATATATATTTTAATCAGTAAAAGATAAAAGTCTTTAAAAAGAAAAGAAGAAACATCTTAATTTAAAATTCCACATAGGTGATGGGTTAACTAAAGTAAAAACCCTGAGCAAGTGCTGTGCGGTGGGGGCAGCTGTCTGTGGGTCCCTGCCCCTCGCCACGTTTCTGGCTCGCTCTTCCGCGAGCACTTCCAAAGCTCTCCCCCGGTCCACCTGAATGTTGCCCAAGCAGCTGGTCGCTGTGGGCCCTGCTGTCTTCTCTGGCTGTGCCCTGAGGCCACACCACTAATGGGCTCACAGGACGCCAGAAACAGCACGAGTTGGCAGAGTGGTGCGTTTTCATTCGTCATTTCTATCTGCTTTTTCATGGATTTTAGTGCTCTTTAAATCATTTTTTAAATGTTCAAAGTTGCATTGATGCTAACCATGTCTCCTGAGGCGGCCCCATGAAGTTAGTGTAATGCTCCGGAGACTTACCACGGCCCAAACCTGTCTGAAATTAGCGACAGGCTGCCGAGCCGTCTCCTCACAGCCTAGCGCTTACGGTGCCAGCCCCGCTGCCTGAGCCCTGACCCAGGAGCGTGCCGCCCAGTCCGCCATCCTACAAGAAGGGCGGGTTTGTCACACGGTTCTGAAGGCAGCAGAGGCTTCACGATGGAATTAAGGGCACGATGTATCATTACTAAGGCTTAGATGCCTTTCACGTCCAGGGACTGAAACACCGAAACATCTTTGGGAAATTATATTTGCAGGGATTTTCTCTTTACAGACTATTCTTTTCCACTAACTGACACCTAAGAGACACTGTGAAACTAGTCATGCCATTACTGTATAATTGAAGAATTTTGTCTTTGGATGTGTTTTGATAGCACTGGGCAAATACCACTCCAGGAAGGACGGACTCTGTGATGGAGACGCGAGGGATGACGGTGGGAACCTAGAGGACACTGGGCCACTTCTCCAGGTTGGTGGCAGCTGCTGCTTTGTACAGAAGGTAGATGTACTGTGGAGTGGCCTGGCTAATTGGGAATTAGGGTCAGAGCTAATTAAACTCCAAGGCCCAATTCGTAAAGTCCTCTTCATCCCTTCAGTGACGAGTGCCACTGAATGAGCTTATTGGAGATGCATTTCAAAAGAAATTTAAATATGATGGAATTTTAAAAGACGTCAGTCTTCATTTTGGCTCGAATTGGTAAGATCTGTTCTTTTCCATACAGCAAAGCCAGCTCAATGGTTCTTTTCAAATAAAGAAAGTTTACTGTTAACCGAATGCAAACTGGACATCTAGATTTAAAAAACACACCCAAGTAAATTCTCTGTGGTGTATTTTACCAGTTTGTTTGTTTTTAAGGAAGGAGAATTACAGCTGGCTTCTTCCAAGAAGAGGCAGATGAATTTTTCAGAGGTCTCACGTGAGCCTTTATTGCCGAGTCTTAGCACGCACTGTGCAGATAGCCCTGTGCTGAGAGCGTCCAGAGTGCCACGCCGCGGGGTTCTCCCAGGTCAGCCGGTGGCTTCGCTGAGGGCTAATGTTCATTTTTCTTCTCTTGTAGTTTGACTACGAGGCCATTGCTAACCAACTCCTGGAAATAGCCAGCCGGAGAAGCATCCCATCCTTCAACAGGAGACGTCTCTCCAAGCTCGTCAGAAAGTAAGCGAGAGGGTGCTGCCTGCTCCTCACTCACAGTCAGGTCCAGCCCTTTCACTTATCTCGCGGTGTAGGGTGGCTGTCACCATACTCATCACCTGTTTTTATTTGTATCAGTGCAGTATGCGCATATAAACTGCAGTGTTCCTCAGGCTCCATTCTTCCAATGCTGCCTCCTCACACTTAGCCATTTTCTAATGATGTACAAGTCGGGGCATTGCACTGTCATTGCACCGCTCAGGAGCTACCTGTGGGCGCTGTTGGGATGGTAGGCTGGAGCTGTGTGCTGCCGCTGTGATCTCAGTGTCATCGTGGCCACACTTGGTGTGCTGTGACCGCTGACGGACAGCAGCTGCCTGGGGCCCACGCCATGTGAGCAGACACTGCTCTGAGTATGTCACACAAACTCCTGTATGAAGAAAAGCCTCGTGAGGTGGCTTCTGTGATCTCCCCAGTGACACGTGGGTTCACTTGGGCATGGGAGGGGAGGGTCACCGGCTTGCACAAGGTCGCAGCTGCCACTTGCAACACTGCGCTCAGATTCCTCCCCGTCCGCTCCCCGGGCTCTGCCCCCAGTCCCCACGCCTCCCCGCACTTCCTTTGTGTCCTGACACCGAATCGCGGAGACCAAGCCAGCACTTGGCATCTCTCCACTTGGTAAACGGAGAGGGGAGCTGGGGAGAGGCAGAGATCTAAGCCGGTTCGGCCTTAAAAAGATAAGAAACAAGAAGAAAATGTGATTTCTTCAGCTTTGACAGACTCTTCAGAGCAGCAGTGAGTCCTCGGCTCCCCGAGGGCTCTGACGACTTTCGCCTTCACGTGACACCCCCTCTTTAGCGTCCCCTTCTAGAAGAAAAAGAAAGGGAATTATACATATCACGTGTTTTAAAAGTTCCGTGCATATGTTTAGAGGAGATGGAAAGAAGGAATTTCTTTATGAGCTTTTGTTTTCTTTTTCAGATTCCAAAGTATCTCTGAAGGTGAGGAAAGTCTGAGCATTAGAACCGATGGTGTTCTTACCTGGATATGGACCCCACTGAGGCATTTATGCCAAATGTTAAAAAGCCAGATTGGAAGAGATTGACTGAAAACACAGGGAAAGCCATCTTTGCCTTTGCGAGATCGTCAGTTACCCACCTGCTGCTCAGCTGAGCAGAGGCCCTTGCGGGAAGCACAGTGTGGGGCCTTGCGCTGTCCCATCCTGGGACCCAAGCTGAGCCAGAGGCGAGGCTGTCCCTCCCTGCCGGCGCCAGGGCAAGGGCCAGACCCCAGGGGTGGGTTAGGGGGTTTCTCTCAGGGTCCCTTTCGCTTGCTGTTAAGATCAGTTGTCCCCTGGGGAAAGCTCTGTCTGTAAACTTGGTTACATTTGAGCAAATTGTTGGGACCGCTGCCCCCAACCCTTGGGCCACTGGGTTGTTCAGACCTGGCTGGCATGTGGACGGCACTGCTCAGTCCCCGGGATTGAGCTGGCGATGATGTTGCCTGATGTTCCCTTGCCTTGTGAGAAAGCACACAGTTGTTTTAAGTCAAATTCCTGAATCAGAGCTGTGAGGCTTGGGTTGGAGAAGTAGTGTGGAGTTGTGAGGGGGAGGCAGAAGCTGATATTAGAACGCTGCCTACCTGACGTGGGCGGGGCATGGCCCTTAGGCCTCTGAGGACAGTGGGGAGGGTCCGAGAAGCTGACTGACTGTGCTCTGGTGTCCAGCAGGCACTGTACCTCAGGTCCGTTTTGCTGAAGACATTTCTGCTGATGAAGATGACCAAACTGTCAGTCAAGGAAGGCCGAAGAAGAAAGGAAACAAACTTCTAGAGAAAACCAGTGCAGAAAAAGAGAAAGGTAAGCGCAAAGCTTGGAAGTGGCGAGGCACAGACAGCCCTGGGGACTGAGAGTGGTGTCTTCGTAAAGCACCATAGAGTACAAGCTGTCGCTTTTAATGCCTCAGAAGTGAAGGTTATTACCGAGGATTTGATTTTCTCTGGCACCCGCGTCCCCTAAACGAAAAGCCTTTGTTGACTCCTCGAGGCGCCTCTGGGGCGGTGGTGAGGGTGTAGGATGCTGGGTACAAACTACCCCGTGGAACATTTGTTGGAGTGCCGCCCTGGGTCTGTGGGTTTCACCTTTGGCCTTCAAAATAGTAGAAACCTGAATATATTTGTTCCATTTATGTTAAAAGGTGCATTAGGGTTTCTAATTACAGTCGGGAAAAGGGAGAAATGGGGCCAAATGAGACAGCTAGTGGGGCTCAAGTGTGTCGAGGAGGCCGGGCCCTTTCTGGCGTTAAAACGGGGGACTTCTGTCGGCCACGGACATGGCCCCAGAATCCCCTGCCAGACCCACTGTCTGCTTGGCGTCGGGGCACCTGGTTATTGGTTTACGCGTCTTTCTAGGAAACAAGTTCTTCCTTGCTGAGGAAGAGGAGCGTGAAGGTGGTGGTCAGAAGAGGAAGAGGAAAAAGAAGAACCACGTCCAGCCTGAACACTTAGGGTTCAAGGTCAAAGCCATGGCCCCAGAGCAGAATGGGGACGGGGAGCCAGAAGCGGGTGCGGTGGTGCTGGGGACAGCAGGCACTCCCAGCTCCCGGGAGCCGAGCTGCTGGGAGCACCGCCCCTCAAACCCACCCACGCAGAACAGGAGGAGGCGACACCGGAAGAGGGGCCCGAGGGTGCAGGGACAGAGCGCGGAGTCAGCAGTGTCGCCTCTGGAGGGCTTGTTTCAAGGTGGCCCCAGCAGTGGGCGTGCTCAGGTGCCCGCCCACGCTTCCCCAGATGATGGAGCCCCAGCCCTGAAGCGGAAGCGGAAACTCGGGCCTCCCCTGGTCAATGGCAGCGGCCCACCCACTCTGGCTTGGCCCCCGCCCGGGCAGGAGAACCCTCCAGTGAGCCCAGCAGACAGAGGGGATTGCCCAGCCACCCCGCCCCTGGGTGGGAGACTGAAGAAAAAGAAGGGGGATTCCAGCAGTCTTGACCTCTACAACCTGTCCACTCAGAAAACTGCCATTTTCAAAAAGAGGAAGAAAATGAAAGACATGTTGAACTTGAACTTGGTAGAACACAGCCAAGTGTTAGAATCCGAACTCAAGCTCGTCCAGGCTCTGGTAAGACAGTCGGGTTCAGGGGCTGGAGGGGGCAGGTCAGTCCTCTGGCCTAAGGAGCAGTCATGGTTCATCACACACTCTACTGACAAGTAAACCAGCAGGTGACCCGTCTCGGTAGCCGAGACAGTCGTCATCGACCCCCCCCCCACCTCTGCCAGGCTGTTCACTCTGAGGCCACATCAAGCTGGGAGAGCTTCCCATGGCCAAGGCAGGCACACTTGCCCGGTGGCGTAAACAGGCAGATAGGTGTCTCCATCAAATGCTGGTCTTGTTTTTCTTCAACTCATGACCAGTGCTGGACCCAAGCTGTCATCTTTTTAGTGTGAAAAGACTTCATTTTCACTTGGCCACCCAGAGCCCATGTGCCTGAGAGCCAGGCCCCGGCTCTGCTTGCCACACCCTCCCCTCTGACCTGCTGTGCCTGCACCGTGCTGGGCACACATCTCCCTGGCGCAGGGTCACACCGTTTGCTCGCGCTCCTCAGTGGCTGTTTGTGCACAGGCTTGCTCACCCCCATCCAGCGCTTGAATTTGCACATGCTGCTTTGCAGCGGCTATGACGTGAGGCCTTTCTTCACTGGGGGAGCCTGGTGGCCTGTGCCGAATGCTGCTTTCAGGGTTTTCTAACAGAATCTCTGCGTGGTTGGCTGAGCTGGGTTCTGGCCATAAAAAGTCTTAGCTAGGAAAACAGCACACTCACCTGGAGTCCAGGGCGGTCCACTCTAACCCTGACGAGCAGTGCCGCCTGTGTCACTGTCCCTGGACTGCAGCCTCTGCTCTTCACTCACTGTCATTCGATGTTCTCTCTTCACTAGGAATATCAGAGAAAATTCCTTCTTTGTGTCTCATTTCTCTGCCCCCTGCAGCCTGTCTCAGAGGATTGGAACAGTTGCTAATTAAGGCACAATCGAGAGGTTTTTCCTACCAGAAGGGGCATGAGACGGGCGGGCTCCTGGGTCTGCCCGGTAGGTTCTGCTCAGGGAAGGCAGCCGGCTTCGGAGCCAGCAGCACCAAGAAAGAACTTGCCGAAACCTCCAGTGTGACCCCTGGGGTCCCAGAACTAGAGCAGGGGTTTCGTGGGGTGACTGTCAATTGTAAAACACCCAGTGAACATTCTTTTATCTGCTGGGAATGGACCTGCAGAAGCTAGCCAGTACGACGTCACATGTGCTATCACACTGTCAACGAACAGTGGTGTCTTTGATCAGAAATGAGAAAATGAATTAAGTCACGTGCATAACAGCATTTCAGTCCACAGCGGACTGCATATACACCTGTGGTCCCGTGAGATTAAAATGGGCCTGAAAACTTCCTGTGGCCTAGTGACGTCATAGCCATCCAAACATCCTAGCGCTTTCTCTGGAAGAAGGCATTATCACAGATGACAGCTGCCCGCGGCATGGCCCCTGAGCCCTTCCCGTGGGGAAAGGTGTGGAGGTGGAAGGCAGCGGAGTTGCTGATCCTGACCCTGTGGAGGCTGAGGCTCGTGTGTGTATTTGTCTTAGTTTTTAACAAAAGGTTTAAAAAGTGAGAAAAAAATTTAAGAGAAAAAGGTTATAAAATGAGGATATAAGGAAGGAGAATATTTTTGTACAGCTGTCGTGTGTTTGTGTTTTAAGCTAAGTGTTATCACAAGAGGCAAAAACTTTAAAATTTTTTAAGTTTATGAAGTAAAAAAGTTACAGTAAGATAAGGTTAATTTATAGAAGGAAAGATATTTTTTATGAATGCAGCATCGCCTGAGTATCCAGTGTGTGTGAAGTCTACAGTGGTGTGATGTCCCCCATTACACTCACACTCACTCGCCAGAGCAGCTTCCGGTCCTGCCGGCTCTTGCATGCTGGGTGCCCCATACAGTCACTGTTTTTTATCCTTCAGAACGTATTTTACTGTGCCTTTTCTGTGTTGAGATACACACACACTTGCCGCTGTGTGACAGCTGTATACAGTGCCCGTTACAGTAACATGCTGCACAGGCTTGTCACCCGGGAGCATGGGCGTGTGGCAGGCTGTGTAAGTGTCCCTGCAGCGCTCGCACAGTGACGAGCTCACCTCGCAGTGCATTTCTCAGCACGTGTCTCCATCATTAAGTGACGCGTGACTATAGATGGTCTTTGAAGGCGAAAGTCTTCAGAACACGGGACCTGAGTTGGAAGACAAATAAAAATGGGTTCATGTGGCTGAAAGCAGGAGAGCACTGGCCCTGTCGGCGTGGTGCCACGGTGGAGAGGTGGTAGTTTGTGTGCTCTGCTGGTGGACAAGGTGTTTGCAGACCTGGTTCCAAGAGAGCGCGAGTGTGGCGGCGGCTGAGTTAGTAAATGCATCTCGCCTGAGATGCTCAGCGATCTTGGGTCTCACCCCAGTGGTGTCTGCACACCCGTCATTTTACTTGCACTTCCTGTGGGGGTGCCACACAGGTGGCTCTGCCTGTGACCTCCCTCTTCTCACCCCTCCCTCACACAGGGGAGCAGTGGGCCCTTCAGCCCCCTGAAGAGGAAGAAGCTGAGGACGGAGAATGACTTTGTGAAGTTTGACACTCCTTTCTTACCAAAGCCCGTGTTCTTCAGAAAAGCTAAGAGCAGCACGGCCCCAGCCTCCGGAAGCCCTGCCACGCAGGTATGCGCACACCTGCTGCGCCCGGGGCCCACCACTGTCCCTGTCCACGCATGCGGAGTCCTGTTTGAGGAGCCTGGGTCTGCTGTGCAGGGAGCCCGGCGAATTCTGGGGCCCACCCCAAGGGGTTGGTCGGGGGGCTCTTCAGGTGTGATCGGTGACCACGGTCTGCAGCAGCGGGACCAACGCGCTGCGTCTCAGAATTCACGGGATTAGGGCTGGAGTAACGGGCAGGGAGGAGACCCTCGTTTATCAGTCAGAGCCAAGAGAGGGGAGGAGGGACCTGCCGGGGCACTGCTGGATGCTGAGGGTGATAGGAGGGGCCGGTGCTGCCCCCGTCACGGTGGGTGAGGGCGGGCACTGCGCTGGGAGACCTGTGGGGGGGTCATGAAGGAAAGGCTCGGCCCGCCAGGTGCCGCCGGAGGCACGTGGGAGGCTCATCTGGGTTTGCCTGTGGGAGATGGCGGTCTCAGTGGGGTGTGGGGACAGGTGCCTGGGCTGGCCCTGCTGGGGAGGCCCCCAGGGCAGCGGGCATTTTGACAAACAGGTGCCATTGAAATAGCCTTGGCCCAGCAGTGACCGCGGCCTGTGTTCACATTTATACACACGATACACACAAACGTTTGCTTAATGACTCTGGGCTTACAGAGCCAAGTTCCTCTAATAAAATGTTGATGTTAAAGCAAAAACGGCGTAAGGCAGAATTATGGGATCCACACAGAAACGTCCGGTTCCGGGGAGGAATTTGAGAAAGTTCTTCAAATTGCAAAATGGGTCAGCTCCTAGAAGTTTTTCAGAGAGGAACCAACTTAGTTAATTTTGATGAATTGTTAGAATATCCGAAACAGTTTAGAGTCCTGATGCGGAAAAGATTGGGAAATTGCCCACTGAAGTTCGATCCCATCATAGGTGTAGTCTAATCAGTGTCATTTCCAAGTTAAAACTTCAAAACTCTGGGACAAAATGAATGGGACTCCCATATGATGTTTCAGTGGTGAACTATGTCCTGTAACTCAGGAGGTTTCAGACATGGCGACTTCACTCTGCTTTCCTCCCCGGGCCAGCCACAGGCGGGCACTGCATAGCCTCTCAGGGCTGTGCTGTCCACCTGCAGAAGCGCTTCACCGATGCCGGGTCCTGATGAGGCCACAGGCAGACACTGAGGCCCCGCGGCCTCCACGCATGGGCTCCCCGTGGCTGGTGGGCACCTAGGGCGCCTCGACCACTGTCATTCTCCTTCAGTTATGGTTTTCTTCCTTCTGCAGCTCAACAAGACACCATCCAGCTCCAAGAAGGTCACCTTCGGGTTGAATAGAAACATGACTGCGGGTGAGTGCCGGCTTCTTACAGCTGCAGCCGTCCTGGGGAGGAGGGCCTGGCCTGTCTTGGGGCATGGTGGACCCTGGTTGAGCCGAGTGGGCCGGCTAGGGGAGGGGAGGTGGGTTCCTGGGGCTTCTGGAAGGCCGTCTTCCCACACCTGCCTGCCTAGAATACCGTAGCTTCCCTGGCCTGAGACTGAGCAGCCTGTCCGCTGTGGTCACCTCTACCTAAGTCGGGACCATCCTGCCCAGAGGAGGGAAACAGGGACATCTTGTCTCATGGCTTTTAGCGTCGGTGCAAGTCACTGTGTGGTTTTTTTTTATATAAAGATTTTATTGGGGAATTGGGGGAGGGGAACAGACAAGTTGCTGTTGTTTTGTTCTTCAGTCTAGTTGTGGAAGACGTCGCTTCACTGGCCCATGTTGGTATTATCATTGCGCTCTTCCAGGGTCAGGCAGGTCCGTCACCAGCCATTGGACGGCGGCTCTTGGCAGCTCACTGCAGCCTACGCCGTCACCGGCGACTCACGGCAGCCCAGCTCCAGGTTGAGCTGTTGTTCACCATCTTAGCTGTAGAGGGCGCAGCGTCACTGGCCCTCATGTGGGATCCGAACCGGGGCCCTGCCGCTCAGAGCTGGCGTCCCAAGCCAACTCCTAACCAACGCACCACTCAGCAGGCCCAGGAGACCAATGGTTTTAAAAGTATATAATGAGTTTAAGACTTGACTCTGTTTAGGAACAAGTAACTGTGTGAGTGAGTCAGTGAGCGAGTTATGCATGCGTGTGTATATGTCTGTATGTGTCGGGTGTGTGTGTGCAGATGAGGGGCTATGCAGACCAGGCAGCCAGCTCACCCCTGCGGCCGTCGTTAGAGCTGGAGGCAGCAGGAGGAACAGCTCCCAGAAGGAAGGCTCCTGCGGCCCTGTAAACCTCCGTCGCTAACTGTCTATGTCCCATCAACGCCCCCAGTCCCACCGGGCGCTTCCCTCTGTGTCCACTTGGCCCTCTGGGCATTTTCCTTGGAAGAGTAAATCCATTTGTGGGAAGTGGCCTGGCTGGTGACCTCCATTTCCTCACAGCCCTCGGGGCTGGGTCTCGGCAGGGCCTGTGTCGGGAGCCGGGCTGGGGACAGCACCGAGGCAGGGCCCCGTGTGGGTAGGCTGACAGGACAGAAGTCACACCTGTTAATGTGTGGCCTTGCTTTCATCGGGCAGAATTCAAGAAGACAGACAAGAGCATCCTGGTCAGTCCCACGGGCCCCTCCCGAGTGGCCTTCAACCCTGAGCAGAGGCCGCTGCACGGAGTGCTGAAGACCCCCACCTGCTCCCCCGCCTGCACCCTCCTGGGGACCAAGAAGCCACTGACCGCCACGCCAAAGAGAAGGCCGACAGCCATGGACTTCTTCTAGGGTAGTCTGAGTCCCTTTTTAAAGTCTGCTTTTGTACAGAATACTCTATAAATTATAACTTTGCAAAGGTGGGGCCTTTTTTATTATTTCCTAAACCCCCGTGGATTGTATATCCGCGGGTCTGGATGTGAGCTGCCACGCTGCTGCGTGGCTATCCCTTCCGGCGGGGGCTGTGGGCGGGGGCTGATTGAAGCCTTTCCTGTAAACGTCATTTGTGCTAGAGCCCTCCAGGGTTCCACATTCTGGGGAACCTCGGTGACGCCCCGAGTGTGGCGGGGCGAGAGCCTGGAGCTAGCCTTGTCAGCCGTGCGTGTGCACACACCTGCATCCTCAGCATTGTGTCTGCCTGCCAGGCTGCTTTGCTGGGTGTCTGTCATCTAACAGCCTGTCCTGAAAAGCATGGAGGGCCGTTCCCGCGCTCTGCGGGCACCTGGCAGTGTATGACCGGGGACTTGTCCGTGAATCCGCAGTGCCGGTCTGTGCCTCCATGTGCTCCGCTGGGGTGGATGTGCATGTGGGGCGGGAGAGCAGAGCCCCGGGCTCGGGTCCTGCCCCATGTTCTACCTCTCTGCCAGCTCCAAGTGTCCTCACGAGGAGAGCAGCGTCCCCTGGCTGTCCCCGGACTCCAGTCGGGCGGCCGACTCCTTTTCCCAGGTCCTTGTGTTCTGGTTGCTCTTTACCCATAAACCCTTGAGCCAGAGACCTAAGTAAATAACGGGCGTCCACAGAAGCAGCTCTCCCACCTTAGATCACGACTCATTTCTCCACAGGCGTGGCAGCAGCGTCTGCAGACCCGAGCTGCCACTAGGAGGCAGAAACAAGCAACCTTTAAGAATTGTTTGTGCATATTGATTTGCTCGTAGCTACCTTATGTCTGAAGTACTGAAGCTTGCACTCACAGATTTTTATAAAGTTCTCATTTTAATTCATTACAAAAGATCAGGTGTGGAAGGCACACAGACTTCAGTTGGGGGAACGTAGTGTTGTCTGTGCACCCACCTGGTTTGGGGGCCCACATCTGCCGCGAGCCTCAGTGAGGGACAAGCCACAGGCTCGTGGCGGCCACTGGGACCCCTATTCCTTCTTGAGTTTACGATAACAAACTGCAGACCTAAAGGAGGAGGCGTGACTTGGGGGCATGTAGTCCCTTCCCCCAGGTGGCCGTGCTCCCGCAGCCCCCTCTCCGCTCAGGGATCTTGGGCCTCCTGAGAGTGGAAGCCCCCCCACACAGGAGTCCCAGTTTCTCACCAAAACCCAGGCCAGTCCCCTTTGCTGCTCCCAGCTGAGGGCCCTGGCAGTGCCTCGGTGTCCAGGCATGGCTTCGGGTGAGGGAGGCCTCGGACTGGCAGGCTGCGAGGAGCTGTTTGGTTTCTGTAGTCACATAACGGAGGGCTGCTTCTGCGAGCCCTAACTGAACAGCTTGGGGCCCATCGGGCTGAGTCACCATGAAGGCCCTGGGGACAAGGAAGGGAAACTGTTCTTCTCTGCCCTATAACTATGTTTTGTCAGATTAAGCCATGAAAAAAAACGAACCTGTGCTGTTATGTTAGCCAGTCCTCGTAATGAGACAGCTGTGTTGTGGTTGCATGGCTTTCGGGCCCTGCATTTGATATCACACTTCAAACCACATCCAAAATCAAACCTGACAGCGTGGAGAGAGTTGAGTAGTCAAACATGCTTAACTTCACTTAAAAAGAAGCTTCGTTATCCTTCGTCAAATTATTTTTCTAACAACTTCTATTTCAGCTTTAAAGGTGGATCTTTATGCCAAATGGGCCACATAAGCCAACGATGTTAAGATGTCTTAGCAGGACGTTCTAGGGCAAAAATGGCCCATTTGTTCTCCAGATGAGCGCAGTGACCTTTCTCTGTCGCATCACTGTCCTCTGTCTCTCCTGAGGCACCAACGTAATGTCCTGTGAACGCAGGTCCTGCTGACGCCTCCCTGGGTACTCGGGTCCCAGAGTGACAGTGTGACTTGGGTTCCATCTGTCCTTCCCTAAATCTGTCCTCACTCACTCCATTTTGTGGGTGAGTTCAGTAGGTTTACTGTGGCTTATTTTTAATACCTAAATTTTGGCTACAAAGAAAGAAAACAATTTTTTAAAGTTCTCATTATGTATGCACACAAGATGTGTCACATAAAGAAAATGTATTTAGAATACCAGTTTTCTACCTGATGCATGTTATTTTCCTAGGTACAACTGCCAACGGGGCTTGGCAGTCCAAAAAAGAAAATAATTTGATGGTGATCTTAGAGGGTTTTGTAAAGCCGTTGTCTGTACAGCCTGGCACCACACTTTACAATGTGCTATCCTTTCTAACTTTTACTGAGCCGAAAGCACAAAGAAGAGTATAAAGCAGTTGCCATTGCTGAAAAGAATATGAGATTGAGTCCGTCTTTTCATTTTTGTGTTTTCTCTGAATTTATCTGACTGCCAGCAAGGACTTTGTTTATGACCAATTTGTGTCCGTTCTCGTCAAAGCCAAGTTCAATTAAAAAAAACCTCTGCCCTCAGATTTGTATTGGATGTTGACTGTGCATAAAAATGTGTGTCTGGGAGCTGCGACAGTGCAGCAGCGGCTCAAGGTGCTGGCATCGGTCTGGAGGGTTTGGAAACAGGCTGTTCGGGCACCTGTCCCATCGTGCGTCCACTATGCAGAGCCAGCGAGTGGGGGCTGGGCCTAAAGCGTGCACGGCAGGGCCTCATCCTGGCCGGAGTCCCCAGCTCATCCCAGGGACGTGACGGCCGCCAATGAAAGCCCAGCAAGGCCCAGCCTCTGCTGGGACCACACAGCACTCGTCACATGAATGTGCCTATGTCTGTGTGCATCCGTTCCTCTAACAATGGGCATTTAGGTTCCGGTCTCCAGGGTAGCACCAGTCCACACCCTATGGATGTGGGAACAGTCCTGCAGGGAGTGCAGCACCCAGAGGGCTTCTGTTCTCAGAGACCCCACTCTGGGTCGTGTCCTCTGCCTAGTCCTTGTCCTCTGTCCCTTCACCCCAAATGTGGGCACAGGGCCTTGGCCTGGACCCCTACTAAGACACTGCAGGTGTCGGGGAGCAAGCCTGCCTGAAGGCTGGGGATGGATTACGTCACCCTCCACAAACCTGAGGGCACACCGAAAACGGACCATGACATGCCTGCGCCTGCTGCTCTGAGCCTTCAGCCAGCAGCTGGCTCCCAGCTCTGCCCGCACGGACGCCCTGTCCCCCCATCCCAGATGCACAGCGTCCAGCTCCTTCAGCCCCCACAGAGTTCAGCCATCTCCCCGCTTCCCACATGCTCACGTGCTCAGAGAACAGCCTTGCGTGTGACAGGTGCCACCTACCGAGAAGACACGTTGCCAGATGGCTGCTTCTCCCTCCATCGCTGACTATGTCCTCTGCACACTCAGCAAATGCTTGCTGTGCCCCTGCCCTGCACCTGCCTGCACACGCAGCAGTCAACACACAGAAACCGGGGGGACGAGAGCACCAGATGGAGAGCTGACCCTGGGAAGAGGCACGCGTGCCCTGGGCACCGATGCTGGCCACACACACACCCCGGAGGTCTGGGCAGTCTTTTTTTTTTTTTTTTTTTTAAGATTTTATTGGGAAATTGGGGGAGGGGAACAGACAAGTTGCTGTCCTTTTGTTCTTCCGTCTATTTGTAGAGGACGTCGCTTCACTGGCCTATGTTGGTATTATCATTGCGCTCTTCCCGGCTGAGGCAGATCGATCGCCGGCCATTGGACGGTCGCTTACAGCAGCTCACAATAGCTCACATCCGCTGCCGGCCAGCCCCACTGCAGCCTACCCCGGTGCCGGCGACTCCCGGCAGCCCAGCTCCAGGTTGAGCTGTTGTTCACCATCTTAGCTGTAGAGGGCAATGTCACTGGTCCTCATGTGGGATCCAAACCGGGGCCCTGCTGCTCAGAGCTGGCGTCCCAAGCCAGCTCTTAACCAGCGCGCCACTCAGCCGGCCCTGGGCAGTTCTGTACAGATGGCTGTCAGACCTTACGGGTGGTGTACCCTTTTAAGTTTCTACTCAAAGCACAAGGAAGTATAATAACAACTGGAAGCAGTTGCTAGTTTTATTAAGTCATGGAAAGAATATTAAATTGAACAGCCAGTATTTTAATTTTTATGTTTTCTTTTTCTTAATTTACCTGACTCTGCTGGCAGGGGCTGTTTGTTTACAAGAAGGCAGCATTTGAAGAGAGACCAAAAAAGGTTGGAAATGAGGCCCTGAGGCGGATAACATGTTTAGGGAATTTGAAGAGCTGCGTAGAGAGATGGGGCCTGGGGGGGGGCAGCGTGAGGAGCTCCGGGAACGCTCGGCCCTCAGAGACGTGATTTGCTGGTCATATTAGTAAAGACAACCTTTCAGAGTCTCGAGACTGATCAAGGGCTCAACACAAGCTGAGAAGCGTTTGTGCAATAGAGAAGCTCCGTAGCAACAGCGGGAGCCTGGCGGTGGGGCCAGGCTGCACCCATGGCCACAGCTCTGCCTTTTAGAAGAGCTGCCCCAGTGGGCTCGGCAGCCGAGTGGCAGGCACCATCTTCTCCCATGACCCTGGCGTGGAAGGGCCGCGCCACGTAGACCCAGCAGCCAAAGAGCAACATTTGTCTTTCTGCTTCCACAGCTGCGGAGGGAGCACAGGAAGGGCCCCCGGGATGGGGAGGGGCTGGTGTAGGTGCTATGGAGGATGTATGTGCCTTCCAAACTTGGACACGGGGACTCTGCAACTTGGATCAGACACCCGGGCGCTGCAGGTGCTGGGAGCCAATTGAGGACAGTTGGGAACACTGAGGCTGTGGCAAACTGCTACATGCCTCTATGCAGGACCCTATGCCTGAGGCTGGATAAGAGAGTCTGCTTAGTAACTGCATACGCAAGGCTTGGACACTCCCAAAAGTATCCATTCCCACAGCACACCCGCCGCAGAGCCCCCTGTAAGGCTTGTTGACAGTTTCACTATGGACTCATTCATTGCTTAGGGGATGTCGGGCCTCCCGAAATCCCCGGCCCTAGTTCCTGGTTTCTGTATGCCTACAGCCAAAGCCCCCTGCCAGAACTCTCTGCTAAAATCCCCTGCACAAAGAGGAACTTACTGCCTGTATAACCAGAGCCTGTCCAATAAACGATGTCTCAGTCTGTTACCAGCAGGCTGAGGCCCTCCCGTCCACAATTTTTGCCTGTTCTGTTTCTCACCTCCCACCCAATCCTCTCAGGCACCCTCTCGGTGAGCGCCCGGTGGGCGAGCTGGTCTCGTTCAGCAGGCGCTTCTGCCAGGCTCTGCGGTGCACCGATGTCCCCACAGCTGCCCGAAGGGAAACCTGACGAGCCCTGTCCGCAGACCAGGAAGTGAGGCTTGGAGAAGCCGGGCCCTTGCCCAGACCTCAGCTCACGCGTGCCCACGCAGGGCCCTGACCCCAGCTCCTGGGCCTGCAGAGTCGAGGCTCTAACCAGCCCCACCCCAGAGGGATGTGCTCCTGGCAGCAGGCCCCGCCAGCAGCAGGCCACCCAGAGCAAGCACTGGTCCAAAGGCCTGTAGCTGTTAGCTCACCCCCACCCCCCGACCCCACAGAATGGCCCTCAACAAATATTTGCTGCCCTGAATTGACTGCAGCTGAAAACCACCAAACCGAAGGGGCTCCCCATTGCTGCACACCCTGGAGGTCCGAGCTGGAGGCGCTCCCGCCAGGCCCCTCTGCCTCGGCCCTTTCACTGAAGGGGCGGAGAGCAGAGCACAAACACCCACAGGCCGTCATGTCGTGTGAACTGGCGTTAACCTTTGCTGTGGTCCAGTTTGGCTCTTTCTGACTGAACCTTCAGTAAATTATACACAACATGACAGTTTGTCCCCAGACACCAGCCTGCGTTGCCAGAGTGACGCCCTCCTCTCCAAGCGCAGCACTGCAGCCACGCCAAATCCAACACTCCTCCCCCAAGTTCACGGTCAGGTTTCCCCCAGTTGTCCCCAAACACATTTTTCTTAACCAGGAAATAACCAGGGATCACGCACTACATTTCCTTACTGTGCCTAAAGTTTCTCTTATTCTAAAACCTCCCTTATTTTTTCTCATGACGCTGCATTTTTGAAGTGTCTAACCTTGACCCTATGGCCTATGGGTGGGCTGTGATCACCCTGGGGATGGTCCAGCAGGGGTCGTGACCTTTCCCCTTGGCCATGGGACCCCAGTGCAGGCAGCCCTGGCAGTCTGACCCCCAGCACGCGAAACCAGCCAGGCCGCAGAGCGATGGGCATAGCCGTGACGGCTGCAACCTCAGCTTGCCAGCTTTCTCAGGAAACGAGCAGAGAGGGGCTTTATTTTCAACTCCAGGAAGGGACGGTTTTCCCGGCCCCTGAAGCACAGGCCAGTTTTCCTCACGATCTGGGCCCAGGGCAGCCCAGGCCCAGCACATGGGTCAGCACGGTCCTGGGTCTCCGGGGAAATAACCCGAGGTGGCCGGTTCTCGCCTGGCCAGGAGCTGAGCTGGCACCATTGGGACATGGGACCCATCAGCCTCCTCTCCCCAGAGGTCCTGCTTCCCATGCCGAGGCTATCAACTCACTAACTTTCGTCTCTAAACTGTGTATCCACCAAGGACCTCGGAGGTCAACAAACACAGGATCAGGGGTCAGGCGGCAGATCTGCATCTGGCTTGTGCAGCAAGTGGACAGAACCCCGGAATAAAGTGTTATCTTACCAACGCCCCAATGAATATCACTTTTCTATAAATGAAACCTAAGCCAAGTCAAAGTTTTGTTTAAAAATAATACGAATGCAGGGAAATGATGGCTTCGGTCTGTTTTCTGAGCCTGCAAACCCTGTGGGTACCGGGTCTGACACTGGTCTGCACATTCTCGGCCAGGGATTTGGAAAGGTGGGAGAATGCCCAGCCGCCCCCCAAGCCACCCAGCCATGAGCAACAGGCAGCGGGATCAAGAGAGCCCCCCCACAGCCCCCCTACGCTCACTCCGGAGAAAGGCTCTCTCCTTGGGTACCTCTGCCCAGGGAGGGCCAGGCACCAGGGCGCAAGAGCCAACAGGCTGCTCCGTGTCCCCTATGAAGGCACCGCGGGATGGAAGGGAAGTGCCCAGTGCTGTCCCGCAGAAATGCTGCCACAGCCGCCAATTGGAGGCCCAGCTGTCATTTTCAATGACTTGTCCAGTAGCCACATTAAAAGGACAAACAAGTGGAATCAATTTGAATAATACATTTCATTTACCCGAAATACTACCATTCCAACGGTAATCAATCTCAAAAATTGTTAATGAGATATTTTGCAGCCTTTTTTTGTGGAGAGTGCAAAACCTAGTGTGCCCTTTACCCTGACAGAACTTGTCACGGGGCCAGCCCCAGCCAGGTGCCCCCAGGACATGTGGGGG